ATTATCTAATCAAAGAAATGGAAGAACTCTGCAATGAAAACTTTAAGATCTGACACAGAAAATCATAGAGACAATGTCAGAAGATGGAAAGACAATCCAAGCTCCTGCACTGGCAGAGTTGACATTGTGACAATGGTCATACTACCCAATATTTTGATAGTATAACACTATCAAAATTTTGATGTAGTTCACATTTAGAAAAAAAACAGGAAATCACATGGGATCACAAAAGACCACGAAAATCAAACAATCTGAAGGATTAAGAGCAATGCTGGAGGTTTTACACTCCTAACCTCAACTATAATGCAGAGTTATAGTGACAGGACAGCCTGCATGTATCTAGTGTGCATTTGCTCCTCCCAAGACCTTGGGCTATCTGGAGATAGAGGAGCTCTCTCTGTGGTGTCAGAGATTGGACTGTTATAGATCCATTCACCCCCAGGGCAAAACAGAAGACCATGGCAGCTAGGTACCTTGTTGTGTATTTGTGAGTGTATTCTAATAAATCCTAAATACCCCCCTTAAACTCCTTACATTTGGCACCCACAGGGCATCTGCCTTCAGCCTCTGCAGCTGTTGGCGAGCTTTCACTGAACCCCAAGCTTTCCCAGCTCGGATACCCAGGAGGCAGATCCCCTGCCTGCCCAGGCCCAGACTCCTGGCAACCTCTTGAGCACCAAGGGAGGCCAGTGGTTAGCTGCAGTCAAGGGACTGCTTGCAACCAGACTCACAGTTGTCACCTTGCCCGACAGCCAGCCCAACTGGGCCTCACCAAACTGTGAGTCCATTCCAGCCCTCTTCCTTTCTGTGTGCACCTGAGACCCTGCCCTGGCCCCTGCTGGGTGCTGTTAGGAGGAAACTGCCTGCCCCAGGTCCAACTGCAGAGCACTACACCCAGTTCCACAGATTCTGAGCTGCTTCCCACTGGGCTCATTCCTCCAGTTTGAGCTGAGCCGGCCAGTCAGCAACACACAGTCCCAGGCCAGCCCAGGGTGCTCTTTGTCTTTCAACTCCCCATTGTGTTCCCTGTAAGAGGTCAGTCTCCTTCCTGAGCTCAAGTCAGAGAGGATGGAATGCCCACTACACCTGAAACTGGAATGAAATAGGGAAAGTTAAATGGATAGAATAGAGTTCCCAGAAATAAACTGAGAAACTATGCACACTTAATTTAGACACAGCATGGACAACACACACTTGGGGAAAATACAATGCTGCATACTGGGTTTCTACCTCAGAAGAAGAACTTCCAGTCTCACCTTTCTTTTCTTCCTTCCTTTGTTTTACTTGTTCTTTTCTTTCTTTTCTCTCCTTCCTTCCTTTCTGTTTTGAAACAGTGTTTCACTAGGTAACTCTGGCTGGCCTGGAACTCAGTAGACCAGGCTGGCCTCGAGCTCATGCCTCAAGGTCATAGAGAGCCACCTGCCTCTGCCTCCTAGGTGCTGGCCTTAAAGGCTTGTGCCATCTATTGCCTTCCACAAAGCTGGACTAAAAAAGTTCAAACCTTGAAACACCCAAACTTCAAGAAGACAACCTAGGGGAAACTCTTCCTGGTTCCGGGGTAGACAAGAACCTCATAACAGGGCAATAGCACAGGAGCTAATTAGGCCAGGCATCAGCATGAAGATATAGTGTCTTCACAGCCCAGGACACAATCAGCAGAGGGAACAGAAGCCACAATAGTAGGAAACTTGTACCAGCTGGACTGCAGACAAGGGACTAGAGCCCTCAGTTTACAGAGAACTGCAGATACTAAACACCAAGGAACTAACATTTTTCAGTCCACAAATGGGTGAGGTAACTGAACAGACAGTTATCTTAGAGGAGGAAGAGGAGGAGGAAGAGGAGCAGAGGAGGAGGAGGAGCAGAGGAGCAGAGGAGGAGGAGACAGAGGAGCAGAGGAGGAGGAGGAGCAGAGGAGGAGGAGGGGGAGGGAAAAACCTGGCATGGTGTGGAAAGCCTTTAAACCTAGGGGGAGTAGGGTTGTGGACCCAACAGAAAGCCAAACCCAATCCAAAACAAACAAACAAACAAACAAACAAAAAGCAAAAAAAGAACCCCCCCAGAGAGCTCATTTTTTCTTCAAAATGATATTGAGCCCTTAAGTACATAGTAAACAAATGCACATGCAGGTACAGTATAAAATCACAACTAAAAGCAGGTAATGGAGTTGAGGTGTGAAACAGGACATAAATATAAGTGATCTCTAGGTTTAAATCTGTCAAGGACTTTCTTGTGTTGTTGCTGGATAAATGCATAAAATATATTTCATATTGAACGGGTAAGATCCAGTGTGACCATACACAGGTTCAGAATGGTTACTCTAACTGTATAGACGTTTACTGAGAGGCATAGACTATGTCCTGGTTAACTTTGGTGTGTAGCTTTTTCTTTTAACTCTTTTCGTAATAAAGTTTAAAAAAAAACTAAACACAAGAAGAGATAGGGTATTACCCCAGCAGATTAGGTCTCTTCTTCCTCAAGACTAAGCCCCATCCCTAAGGCAGCGTGAGGAGATGCCCTTGGTCCCTCGCACCTGTGCAGAGACTGGAGTTCCCCATCTCCAGGTATCTGAGGAGCGTTTGCACACACTCGCCCTCCAGGTAGGCCTTGTATTTCTGTGCCTCATCAGCCTGCTCCAACTTCTGCCTGGTGATCTGCGCTGCCTCCGTGTCCGCGGCTGTCCATGTCCTGAGGTCCTCGTTCAGGAAGATATAATTGTCACCATCGTAGGCGAATTGTTCATATCCACGGAGGAGGAGACCATTGGAATCCACATCACAGCCAGATATCACCTGGATGGTGTGAGAACCTGGCCCCATCCCAG